AAATAATGCAATTCTCAATCTCTATACAGGCTACTTCCAAAGAGTGTTCTACAGACAGACACACGATGTCATTACGCTCTTTATACTTTAAATTTTTATTAACAATAATCAAAGAGCCCCCATGAATCGCCGACAATCTGCAAAACGAACTTGCAACTTGGTGCTGATCAAAGTTAAAGATGATTTGGCATTCTCTAAGCCAATGTTCGGTAATGCATAGGACATCAATTTTACTTGATTTTAAAAACAACTCCAATTCTAATTCTTTGCCCAACATACCTTGCATGTTTTGATGCATCAAGTTTAAACAGTTGTTGTTAGTAATATAACATGTTTGTGTTGAGCTGAGTTGTACTAAATTATTGCTAGAGTTTGCCTCTATTGTCACACTATCTAATTTAAATTATTTATACTTAATGAAGTGCTACTGCAAGTATCACTACATTCACTTAAGCTAAGCTGCTCAATAGAAGCAGTTGTCTGAAAAGCTAGCTGCTCAATAGAAGCAGTTGTCTGAAAAGCTAAATGTTTAGCTTTAGTTGTAAATAAAAAGTAAGATAGCATAGTAGCTATCTGTTGTAAATAATAATTAGGTAGGCGGAACCTATCCTTTGTCAATACATACTTATTTTTAAATATACAATTTATGTCCATTAAATTAGGTAGTGTACCTAAGCCACAATTTAATTGTATATTGTTAGTAGTTAACGTATTGTGCAACAACATGTTTAACTTATAATATAATTCCTTGAAACATTTTTAAATGCAATTTTCCTGTATATATTCTCAATAGAAGTCTCGGGACCCTTAAATAGGCATGGGATGTTTAGTAAATATATGCCTTCTATGTCTACCGACCGGAAGGAATTATTGTTTCGCGAGGAATCTATCTCCGGTTTTTTTGCCACTTCCATTATTACTGGCTTACTGCCACGGAAACGATATTCAATTCTTGGAGTAAAAATAATTTTTGAAAGAAAATTAATGTAATCTTAGTAATTCTTTATATTATATAATTATAAAAAGGGTGCGTGTACTTATGTACGCGCGTAAGAAGTTATACTTCTTTGTCATTATTAAAAATAGTTTTTGATTGCATGCAAATAATTAATTACAATTAAATAATCAAAGACTGGAAAAGGCGTCATTGTAGTCAATAAAGTTCAGTTTACATTTGAAAAATTAAATAAATAAATATTTATTATTATTCTCTTACATTAAGTGCAACATAAATTCTATTATTATTCGAATGTTGTTTTTAAATTATGTCCAATGCCGTAGCATCTTCCGTGGGCAACTTCATTCTGTTAATTTTGTGTCACGGTGCGCGCGCATCGTAAAATTTCACTCTACTCAATTTTTCATAACGCGCCTAAAGAAGTATAACTTCAAAAAATAAATTAATAATCTACCCCAGGGGGTATCACACGCGCTCGCGGGTGGAGAGTCCCCCTCTGGGTGTGAACGATCTGCACCCGGACAAGCTGCCTTTCGTATTCTGGGGGGGGGGGAAACTCTGCAAGCTGCAAATTACAGCTTTTCAAAGGCCGGCAACGCACTTGCGAGCCCCCTTGCAATGTGAGTGAGAATATATAAAAAATCTAATTAAAGCCCTTACACTTAGGGTCCTTCAAGATAAGAGCGTACCATTCTTAAAAGGCCGGCAACGACTCGCGAGCCCTCTGGCATTGAGAGTGTCCATGGGCAGCGGTATAACTTAACATCAGGTAAGCCTCCTGCCCGTTTACCCACTGTTCTATAAAAAAAAAATTAGAATTGTTGAAACTGTCTATAAAATAACCGAATTGGCTGATTATGATGTGTTTTGTGTTGGTGAATCTGGTCATGATACTTATTTCACACGTTTGATAGGTTTATTTTTAAACCTACCATATCAGATATGATATTGTGAACATTAGGAACACCGCTGTATGCTGGTACCTCTGAATCACTTTAATGATCAAGTTTAAAGGTTGTCCAACTTAAAACCTTAATTTTATATTATCTTAAATGTTTCGATTTATTAACCGGTTAGTGTACGTAGGGAGCGAAGGTCTGCCGTATAGGTATTGCTCAATAACTGGTATCTCTAGTTCTACGGTCTTTACACAGGTCCAAATGATTTTTAATTAACATTAAACTTAAAACCTTCTTGCCCGCGTAACTTTTTGGTGTTCGGGATTTTTGGAACACATTCTATATTTGAATTTAAACCAGGATTATTTGTGCCATAGTACATGAGACTACAGTACATAGTTGATTTACTTATTAGTTGAAAAAATGTTTTTCTTTTTAATATACGTCGCGCTAAAACCAACACAATCATAAACATATAGACATGCGATTGTCTGCTTAAATAAATTAATTACTATAAAAAATTTACACTTTCTTCATCTTTTGGTGCCTTTACTGAAGGTTGGCGTCAGTCTCGTGAAGCGTGTCTTGTCCTGTACCAGATGCAGCAAATCTTCCGCAGTCACGCGATTAACGTTACGAAGCCATGATTTTTTCCTTCTACCAACACGCTGTTACGATATCCTACAAAAATTATGTTTATTGTTTAAAACAATAAACATTATTTTTGTAGGATATCGATCCCTACGATACAATTTGTGCTCATGTAAAGCAAGTGATTTCACTTTCTGTGAAGTCAGCGTGAATGTCGTTCCACGCTGTTGAATGTTAGAGGAAATACAAACGTTTGTTTTTCTCAATAAACAATGCCTCACTGTGCGCATTCGTGTCTTATTTGGTACTTCAATATTAAACGCACAACGGTTTTGATAAAAACAACAACTTTGACAATAAAGAACTTCATCAGACTGGTGTCCATAGACTGCTGTTGAATAATTACGGGTTTTCTCTATAAAGTTTACGTTTACCTATTAAGTCTTAATCACCTCATAGATTTTAAAACAATAAATATATTAGGTCCTTACATATGAAATTGGCGTTTTGTATGGGAGGAACAAAAAGTCGAATATTTTTAAATATAATATATTTAATTAATCAAAGTATGAACCATTGTTTTCTATGCACTTTTGCCATCTCATAGGTCCCTTCATTGATCCCTTTACTAAAAAAACCATACGGACGGGAATCAATAAAATCTGTGAAGGCGATTTGGACTGCCCCATCAGAGTTAAATTTTTTCCCATGCAAGAAGTTGTCCAAATTTCGAAAAAAATGGTAATCTGTGGAGCAAGGTCCGTGGAGTACTGAGGATGTCTTAGACATTGCAATTGAAGCTCTTCTAATTTGGTAGGCGTCTGTTGTGCAGTGAGTGGTCTAGCGTTGTCGTGAAGTAGCAGTGGCGTGGAGCGATTGACCAGCCTAGGTTGTTTAGCCGCTAGCTTTTCCATCATGGTTTGCAATTGCTGACAATAGATCAGCCGTAATAGTCTGGCCAGATTTGAGAAAACTGCAATGAACAATACCGGCACTAGTCCACCAAACGCTTAAGAGTAACTTTTTTGGGGTTAATTTTCGCTTGGGGCAGGATTTGACTGGCTGGCCAGGACCCAACCATTGTGCTGAGCGCTTTCGATTATCGTAAAGAATCCATTTTTCATCACAGGTAATGATTCGGTTTAAAATACCTTCATTATTGTGCCGGTTCAGTAATGTAACGCAGCAGTCGACGCGCGTTTGCCGGTTTGCTTCAGTCAATTCGTGAGGTACCCATCTTTCAAGCTTTTTAATCTTCCCAATTTGCTTTCCCAAGTGAATTAAAACAGTTTTATCACTAACACCGCAGCCTGCAGCTAACTCGGACGTGGTTTGCGATGGATCCGCTTCCACAATAGCCTTCAATACTTCATTATCAACTTGGGTCTCAGGCCGTCCACGGGGCTTGTTCTGCAGGTCGAAATTTCCAGAACGAAAACGTTGGAACCAAAAACGAACTGTGTTTTCTTTTGCAACATGACTGCCATACACATCATTCACCCTTCGAGTCATTTCCGCAGCACTAGTGCCACGGCGGAACTCGTACTCGTAAATAATGCGATACTTTAAGTTTTCCATTTTGTAAAATGAGTGACGCAAACAGAAAAAAACCGAAGAAAAAAACAAATGAATGACGGTCATCGAAGCACAAATACATGAGTAAATAGCTGTACAAATTTGAATTTGGAATTCCTTACCAAAGAGGAGAACATCGTGATTAAAGTGGCCAGTACAAAATACGCCAATTTCATATGTAAGGACCTAATATATATGTAATAGTAATATTAAACTAGTTACAATTAAGCGCTTACAGAATGTAACATCTTGAATTAAAAATTATATAAACAAGGGTTAAAAGTTTAGGTATGTTTCGCAAATAGGCAACAATTACTACTAGCACCTACTTGCGCAAGCGCAGGCCAGGCAGGTTCATTACAGGTACATTTAGAAATAGTCTAGTGTCCTTTATATTACTTATGCTTATTATAAGAACACAGCTTGAAATTGGAATTTTCTAATTTTGAGTCGGATAACATTTAGTAGGTATACTGTATATATGCCCAAATAATAAGATAATTTGAAGTAATTTTGTAATTTAATTCATTGAATTTTTTTTTTAATTTAATTAATAGACAGAACAGAACATTTAAAAGAAATTGTGGTCTATGTATTAGTTTTATAAAAAATAAATTTGTTATTTAACTTTCATATTAATTAATATTTTTATATTTACAGAATTGATGAATTTGAATTGGAAATATACGTTTTGTTAATATATAATTTACGTCAGTTAAAATCTACTTTTATATAAACACCTTATTTTTTATAGTAAATAAACATGATACATTTAAGACATTTTTGCTCATGTTTACAGAAATACTTAAACATTATAATGTCTAAAAGAGTAGCCAGTTTAATTGTAGCCCCACGAAAACTTTGTATTACGAAAATGAATATGCCTTTCACCCTTCCACCGCTGCTTAAAAACTGCGTTCTACCAGTTGGTTTTAACCTATTGAGCAGTTAAGTAGTATCGGTGTAAAGCAATTACAATGTGTGGGGATATGGGAAAAGCTGTGTTGCGGGCCCTGACGGGTGCTCTGCTCTGTGGCCTCGTGTCTGATGCGGCGTATTTACAAGTGAGTAGTCAAAAAAAGAGCAGCCAGCCATGTTAGGCATACATATTTTTAAGTCCACGGGTTGGTTTAAAGATGATGGAGAGAAATTGGCTGTGCCAAAAATTAATCTGGAACTGTTAAGGAAAAACACCTATTACATGGCAAGCATGGTTTACAATAATTTACCAAAAGAATTAAAAGATCTTCCGACTAGAGTTCTAAATGATTATTTGCGTGAGACACTGTAGTGGATAAAAATTTAATTACGTATTATATGATATGAAAGATACAAATAATATAAGAATTGATCAATTCATATGACTAATAATGTAAAATGTTAAATTCCTTTAAAGACAAATTTGCGTGCCATTGTGTGTGGCAGAATATGCGAACTTACGATTTTACCACCTTACACATTTTTGTACCATATTCTTGCAAGAAATAAATAATAATAATTATCTATTATTATATTATTAGCTGTAAAATTAATTATTGTTTATATGTGCTGGGGAAACGTGAGAAAACTGACACGTCTCAGAGCCGAAAATTTGCGTCTGGTACAGGTTGATAACACTTGCACTGAAGGAAGTAATCAATATGAATATGACTTCCTCCCATTGTTTTTTAATAGTACCGGGGGAAAATGGGCAGTAGGCTCATCTAATGTTTATTTATTTCATTTCATATTTTTACAGTAACTTAATAAAATTTTATTAGATAGTAAAAAACTTATTAATATAAAAATAAAATAAAAACAATATAAACACAACGAGAAAACATAAAACCTTTTTATAACTAATTATAATTATTGAAATTCTTGTGAGTTAAGCCAGCTTGTTAAGTGATAGCCCATGGACTCTCACACTGCCAGAAGACTCGCAAGTGCGTTATCGACTTTTTAGGAATTTTACACTCTTACCTTGAAGGACCCTAAGGGGAATTGGTTCGAAAATACTTCATTGGGTAACTGGTTGCTGCCCTAGGTTATGGAAATGTTTATGAATTAAAATAGTTTCTTATGATTTCAAATTATTATTAATAAATGCATTAAAAAGCTCCATCGGATATTCTCGGCTAATGCCACCAAATGCACCTTATACAAACCATTTACTCTGGGGTTACCGTGAAAATTCCGAGCTCCTTTTATAAGCCATTAACTCGATATGACGCAGAATGTGGCCATTTTTCACTTAAATATAGGCGAATTTGCGTGGTCTTATATGCTTTTACCGTGAGACAATTGGTTCAAAGATGATGGAGGTCTTGACTTCGATTTACTTGGAATCGTTTTAAAAATATTAAAGATATTGGCCTGTCAGTTTAATATTGGCTGTATATACCGTAATAAATATGTATTTAATGCTGTAAATAGCGTTTTAATAATCTACGGCTCCTATTACTAATTAATTTGAGCGTAACTTTTTGTACCTTAAAACTAAATATTTTCATTGTTTATTTACGAAAATAAATAACACCGAATTAAAACGCTTATTACATTTATTTATAACTATAGAACTAAAAAAAGAGTCAGTTACCGCACATAGACTCTCACGAAGTCTGTTGCGCGTAAAGTCCTGGCTAACTAAGCCTAGCTCCTTCCAGAAGCACAGAAGTCTCCTGGGCACTTCGCAGGCTAAACAGAGCGACATTACTGCTCCGAGGATTTCTGTACATTGGTTAGCCACAGCCTCACATTTCAGGACTACGTGGGTGACTGATTCCTGTGCGCTGAAACAGCCTCAACTAAATAGTACTATTATATTATATGAACTAGTTTGGCGTTAAATTATTGAGCCCGTTAAAGCCATCTTTAATTATGTAAACTCCAAACTCTAATTAAAATTTCAATTCAGTAAAGTGACAGAAACAAACCGACCCCATAAGAAAAAAGCCAGAAAGGTGAGAATCTGTGAGATTACCCCTGAATACCAATTTGGCGCGCCGACTTTCAAACAATTTACACTTTGAAGAGCTTGATCAAAGAAATAAAACTAAAAAGCAGACGCAAACGAAAATGAGAGTAAATTTAACCAACGGTAATTCGCTTTTGAAGGAGTGAGGGCCGTAGGGAAAGAAAATTGCAAAAGTTACTGCTCCCTTATGAACGCGGCTTAGATGCGCGGGTCAGTTTGAGGCTGGCTTTGGGAAATCATTATTGGTTACTGTACATTGCGTTTTAATAATTTAATTAAAGTCTAATACAGTACCTGTCTTTACTAAAATAGACAGGCAAGAATAGGTCATCAGGTAATAAATGCGAGGTATTTTTTTTTTTTTTTTGTGTTCTTGTTCATCTGCAATCGGCTATCAGCCATAATCAGATATTTTCTGAGGTTAATTTTGGTTGGGTGCGATTCCATTGAAAGGCACCGTAAGTGTTGGTAGAAACTGGATTTTTATTGTAGGTCAGTTTCTCTGGTCTAGGTCTAGTATTTGCCATCTTTTTAGGCGAGTTACATCATCTCCTGGGGTTAGCAGATTCTTAGCCAGTTCATTTGTATGTTTGGTTAACCTTTCCCTGTATCTACTACTGTTTTTGCGGATTACTTCCTTTACGGTTGGCATCTCCAGATATTCGTGTATTTCCGTGTTTCTCACAAACCAGTGTGCACATGAAATAGTTCTCAGTGCAATGTTTTGAAATCTTTGGAGGATTTCGATGTTAGAATTGCTTGCACAGCCCCAGAGTTCTATTCCATATGTCCACACTGGTTGTATGATGGCCTTGTACACAAGCAATTTGTTACTCAGGGTCAGCCTAGATTGCGGGCCTAGAAGCCAGGATAGCTCTTTGAATTTCAAGGTGGCTTCTGTTTTCTTGGCTTTTATATGATTAGCCCAGGTCAATCTTCTGTCCAGATGTAGTCCGAGATATTTCACGCTGTTTTTGCTTGGTAACGGTTTGTCTTCTATATGCACAGGTGGACAGTCGCCCTTTCGCAGTGTAAATGTTACTTGTATTGATTTAGTTATGCTAGGCTTGATTCTCCACCTCTGCAGCCACACGTTCACCTTATTGAGCTGTTCCTGTAGTTTCAGTGAAGCGTTATTCGCGTTCACATCGCTTGCAAGGCATGCAGTGTCATCTGCGTATGTTGCTGTTACGACATTTTCTGTTTCAGGCAAGTCTGCCGTATATATTGAATAAAGGACTGGGCCAAGCACTGATCCTTGTGGAACTGAGGCAGTGATGTAATAGAGCCTTGAAAGTTCCTCCTCATACTTTACTTGGAATCTTCTTTGATCTAGATAAGATTTTAGGATCATATAGAATGAGTTTGGTAGGAGGGTTTTCAGCTTGTACAACAATCCTTTGTGCCAAACTCTATCGAATGCCTGCTGAATATCTATGAATACTGCTGAACAATATTCTTTTTTCTCTAGCGATTGTCTTATTTTGTGAACCACTCGGTGTACTTGTTCTACAGTAGCATGTTTTTCCCGGAAACCAAATTGGTGATCGGGTATAATTCTGTTTTGGTCCAGGACTGGTTTTAGTCTCCGCAGAAGAGTTTTTTCAAAAACCTTAGATATTGTTGGGAGAAGACTTATAGGCCTGTATGAGCTAGGGTTCTGTTGGGGGTTTCCCTGGCTTTACAATCATAATTATTTGTGATATCTTCCATAGCTTTGGGTAGTACTGTATTCTAAAAATGGCATTGAATAACATTGTTAAAAGTACTATTGCTTTTCTAGGTAGTTTTTTAAGGATTTCACCCGTTATTAGGTCGAAACCAGGAGCCTTTTTGTTTTCCAGATAGCTTATTGTGCGCGTTAATTCTTGTGGAGTGACAAGTTTTAGCGGTAGTGATAACTGCTGGTCACTGTTGATCATTCTATCCACTTCCTCTTCAAACTCAGTCATGGATGATTGGTTTGGTTTGAAGACTTCGCTTAGGTGTCTAGCGAAAAGTTCAGCTTTTTCACTGCCGCTCCTAGCCCACGGATCGTTCGTAGATATCCTTATAGGTGGTATATGGTTATGTGGTCTTTTAAAGTTCTTAGTTATTTTCCAGAGTGAGTAATTATCCTTCTTATGAGCCGAGAGTGTACAGAGTTTTTCTTGGAAGGTTGTGTTTTGATTTTCTTTAATTAACTCTTTTAGTTCTCTAGATATTCTATTGAATTCCGACCTGTCTACATCTGATCTGCTGGTGTGTAATCGCCTTCTTTGTCTCCGTTTTTCTTCCAGTTTGTTGCGTATTTCCAGTGGTATGTTACCTAATTGATTGGAAGAGCTCAGTGTCGGGGTGGCACGCCACGCAGCTACTTGTATGAGATTCGTGATGTAGAATGTTGTCTCATCTATGTCTTCTTCTGTTTTGAGCCTAACCTTTAGTTCAACTTCATCTTCTAAGTATTCAGCAAATGCGTCCCAGTCTGTTTTATGATTATATAGCGCCAGTCTCTGTGCTCTATGTATAGCGGAAACGCTAAATGTTGCTATGATAGGGGTGTGGTCAGACCCACCATCAGACGATGATGCCACGTCAAAATACACATCAGACAGTCCCTTCACCACAAAAAAGTCCACTAGGTCGGGTATTCTGTTGACATCTGTTGGCCAATAAGTTGGTTTACCTGTTCCCAGTGTAATAAGTTTGTGTTTATCGACACATTTTTTCAACTCACGTCCTTTGCTGTTTGTCAATCTTGATCCCCAATGAGTGTGTTTACAGTTCCAGTCCCCACCACTTATGTATCTGTTTCCCAAGCTTTGAAAATAGCGGTGTTTCGGTTTATGCTTTGGTGGACAATATACAGCGCTTACATTGATGGGGCCCATGCTTGCATTTATAGTGATGGTAGTGGCTTGCATCCAGTCTTCCCGAAACTCGCTATGGAGGTGGTGTCCGATGTTACTCTTTACAATTACTGCTGATCCTCCGTGTGATGTGTTATCGGGATGGTTAGTATAATATACGTCATAGTTGTCTATCTTAATATTCTTACGGTCATTTAGGTGGGTTTCAGATATTAAACCAATGTCGATTTTGTTATGTTTTAACATTATTTCTAAT